TGAGAAGATGCTTAGTTGTACACTGGGCAGCCCTTGACAACTATACCTTTAGCAGTGGGGCAAGAAGCCAAGGGACATCCATCCAAGTCATTTCCCCACCAGTTCAAACTGATGTTCTCCAAGCCTAGGCACAGGTAATTAACACGGCCATGAATGCCAAACCAGCATCTAGTGCACCTGAAAGCAGATAATTCTGTCGCTCCCACCAGTCACGTCGATATCTATATACCACATAACCTGATAGAAACCCAATCAGTATCCATGTGGTGTAGTTAACTGCTGTGGCGGGTGGCATCTGGAAGATGGAACCCAGCATCACGGGCATGTTGATGAGTACGATCCAGTTCTGGCCTGGGAATGCCCTGTGCGCTAACCATACGAGGAGCGGGGCGACGGCTCCCCCCAAGAAGAACCAGTTCACTGCCGCGTAAGTTCCCAAGTCCCCGAATATTCTGCGCGGGCCAATAAGACCCCATATGACCGACGCGTCATAGAACACATGATCACCGGGGCAGGTCCAAGGGCTGCCCGCTGAGAGTAGCTCAATGTCGCAGATGTTGGGGATTGTGTCCATCAGCCACCATGCTGTCCCAAGGTACACGAATGCCGCGATCGTTGTTCCGACCACCTGCCATGTTCCAAAATATTGATGCTTAATGCCTTCTGTGCACTTATGCAGTGGAAATGTTAAATACACTATGATGGCCAAACAGAGCTTACCTGAGCCATAAACATGGTCCTTGGGGGAATCTTCATGTAGTGGCCCAACTTAAAATCTTGCAGAAACATCAGAGCTTGGTGCATGCTGATATAACCGTATACCTTGAAGCACATATTTGCGACGGGTCGTCCGGGGTACAAGTACCCGATGATGTACTCTGTGATGATGTTCAGTCCTGAGGTCTGCATACAGTGGAAGAATGTGAGTTGTGGATTTGGTGCTTCAGATACGTATGGCATGCCGTGATGAAAGTTGATAGAATCCTTACCTGGTTTGTTGTTGCTGTGATAATTCCAATTGGGAGGGTGAAGAAAAATGCAATGGCGCATGCAAGTAACACACCCCACCAGGGCAGCTGGAGCTGCTCTATGTAGTATTCGCAAGCGAATACAGTGACAGGCAATGTTAACTACAAGGATGCAGATGAACCACCACTCAGGGACCTGCTTGTATCTCCTCATTAGCTTTGTATGTATGTCCACACTTTTCCCTTGAAAAGCTGATCTGCTTAGCTGCAAAATTTCCCTGGACACAAGCATTTTGATTCTTAATTAGTTGCCGCAACCATGTGATTGTGCACAACAAACTGACAGGATTTTACCTTCCATGGAACAGGAGGACATGAACAATCGTCGCGGTAAGTGACGCGAAACCGATACCATATGTGACAGCAAAGAGAGTGCTGAGGTACAGTGGACCGTTTTTCTCATATGCCTCTGTATCTAGATGGAAATTGTCGTCCACGATAGCTGAGATGTTGTACTTCTGCCCGCCGGAGGTGAAAAGACCGGAAGAGAAGATGGGGAAGGTCTGCGCCTTGTAGAAATCAAACCAGTACCCAATAGGCACGATGATGTACATGACGATGAAGAAGCCTGCAGCGACATTCGCAGTGGCGAACCAGGGGCTGACGAGAGGGCTTCCTAGATAGCTGGAGATGGATGCCCAGTCAAGGCCGATTGCGGCGATGCCGAGCCCGTGGAGACCTGAGCCGAGCTGCTGGGCGAACACTGAGTTGGGGAACACCCAGCAGATCCAGGAGAGTGAGGTGAGCATCTGGAACAGGTAGCCTGGGAAGGCGTAGTATGCGAAGCTGCAGGCGAACGCCACCAGGAAGAACTGGTTGCGCGTGAAGCCCCCTTTTCGCCGCCTTTCATCCTCGTGGAGTGCCCTGGTGGGAATATGCATTGGAAGCATGAGTTCTCACTTCTCAGGGAAAACTGCTCAAACATATCCAGTATATATTGTTCAAACCATTGATTTCTCTGATCGTCAAAGCAAATAAATGTTTGTGCTAATCTTATTCTGCCTGTCTTAATTAGGTCACTGTATTTCCCGGAGATGGACACGGGATTTCTTTATTTTGTCCATGTTTTTTCAATGAATGGAAGGCATGAGCATGTCAGCATGATACCATTCAGTAGTCGTTGTCAGAACCAGGAACCTTAAGCTATATATTACTCTGGTGTTAACTGAAAAAAATGCCATTGACTTAAAATGAGGATGGCCTCGATGGCCCCAACAACTCACAGGGGCCATATGCTAATTTAATCCTCGATCGGAGTTTTTTTTTCTCTCTTAATCCTGAGTTTTATGGTTGTGTTCAGAATCTTTGGGTGGCTAAGCTGTTGCAATCATCTAATTTTCTTGGATGTAATTAAGCAGGGCCAGCCTGACGTGTCATGACCCACATGAGGTGTCTACTTCTCCACACCAACAATAGCTTATGCCAATTTGCTCAAAATTCAAATCTCCTACTACTTGGAAGCATATAGCAAGTACACCCTCTGTTCATAAATATAAGACGTTTTGGCAGTTTAAACAGAGGCATATATACATTGCTTGCACGCATCAAACACCAGTAATTGTACACAAGTTTTAAGAAAAGAATTCATGATCAAATTGTTAACCTAGTTTCTTTCTGAGTGCATCATTTTGACCGGCCAATTAAATTTGGCCATGTAACAAGGCAATGAAAAATTCGAAAATGAAGTTGCCTGCCGGAGAGGGGAAGCGTGTGTACCTGAAGAGGGAGACCTGCACGAGGTTGGACGGCCACCACATGGCCGCCGGCTCCACGAGGTACCGCCGGAAAATCCCCGCCCACCCGAACCCGAGCACCTGCGTGGTGAGCACCACGAGGAGGGAGACGAAGAAGGTGAGGTTTTTGCCGTAGAAGACGCGGACGGCGGTGACCACGTGGATGGCGTAGACGGTGCCGGCGCCGGCGTTGGCGAAGATGGTGATCAGCACGTGCTCCTTCACGTTGAACGGCCCTGGGTTGAGGGTGAACTCCCAGCGCGAGCCGCGGAGGAAGGCCCGCTCTGGCAGCGCCGCGGCCATGAGGCGGCCGAGCGGCACGACGGCGATCTGCGCGGAGATGGCGGTGATGGTGAGCGGCTCCTTGCGGTACCAGAAGAACTGGTTGAGGAAAGAGAGCACGGCGCAGGACGCCATGCCCAGCACCCACATCCGGAACGTCAACACCGGCGTGTCCGGGTCGTCGCCCACGGGGACCGTCAGCGCCACCTGCTCGATCGGCGAGTTCTCCGACGATCTGCCATGGCCGTTGTCGTGGCGCTCCGGCGAGTTCTGCAACGTTGACGGCCGGTTCGCTGCGCCATGAGAAGAGCAGAGCAGAAATGGTCAGCTGGCGTAGCAGGGGTGCGTGCACGGACGGAGCTAAGCATGAGAGGAGGCGGCTCACGGAGGAGTGGGGCGGTGATCTGGTCGCCATGGCCGCCGCCGTGGCCATGCTCGTCCTCTTCTTCCTCTTCTTGGTGGGACTGGGAGTGGAAGTGGGAGGAGGACGCCATGGTTATCTGTCTCAAGCTGGCTAGTCTCTACTGCTTCAGCTGTCGTCTCTGCATCGTAGTACTGTTTTGGAAGGTTTGGACTTTGGAACGTCGAGATCTAGGAAACATCCATCAGCAGCCACGTTCCCGGCCAGGTTCAGCGGGCATCCATAGGAGCGTAGCAACAACGTGGTCTGGGTCGACGAGTACGTCCGTTTCTCAACGAATAGTTAATGTTCGACTACGACTTGGGTATCAGCCAGTACGACTCTACCAACACCATATTTTCAACGTACCAATTGGGTCGTTGGATCGCCATCCAACAGCCACAACCGCGCCACACTGGACCTCTCTTTCTTCTTCCTCCCGCCGAACCATCGACCCCGCCCCATCCGTCTGACTACACCCCCGCGGCCATGACATTTAGCAAAACCCCAAAAAATAACTACAGATTGACATGTTGTGCCGAACAGGAAAGACAATTCTAGACATTTTTATTATGTTCTCCAAACGAGCAGTTTCCAAGATTCCAACATAGATCTTGACAAAAAAAGGCCGGTCCAGATAATGGCTGCATCCTGCATGTGCACGGGTGCTATAAACAACATAGATCTTGACAAAAAAAAAGGCCGGTCCAGATAATTGCTGCATCCTGCAAGTGCACGGGAGCTATAAACAAACTCTCTATATCTGTTACTACTTTTATTAGCTCAATAATAAATCAAATTGAGTAATAAACGCGATTGAACACATCAGGAGGGACGGTGGTATTACAGGCATGGCCTCGTTCATGAAACGAGATGCACCTTGTTGGAATTATCATCTGGTTCTCAAGACCACTGGTGGCCGGTGACCCCGAGAGGTCCAGGCTCGGCAGGTCAACCACCTCTATGAAACAGCGCAACTAACACCTCTATACAACAGCGCAACTAACTGACAATGATGTTCTTTTGGGAAAACTCGCCTCAGAGTTGTTGCAGGTTGCAGCTATAACTTGCCAAATGCCAAAGATCCAGAAGGGAAAGGAGGGTTGGCTCCGCCTCTGCTCAAGACACTACATAGTGTAGCAGCAATGAAGCACACAGACTCAACCAAATTATATAGCCTCAACACAACTGTATGTTTCTGTACTCTGTGCTCATTTACTTGTCATATCAGTTCTCGTATGTGGATTTCATTATTCCAGAATAAATGTACCTTGTTGGGATGTATCTTGAAATTATATGCTTCGTCTGCAATTCTCGGTCGTCTGTGCATCTTAATAACAAGTGCAGCATCAACGGCCATTTTGATTTATAGCAGCAAGAAGAGAAGAGTCAATGCCCAGGTGGTGCTACGCACTGACCTGATTTGGCATTCCTTCTGTTGCCACCTTTTGAAGAATCCCTTGCCACATCAATTTGACTTGGAAGATCAGATCAGAGCGGTTCATGGGCAATCACAGATCACTTTTATGATCACAGTCTCTTCACATCTCTAGGAATTTAGATCTCTATAGGTGACAGAAACAGCTGTTCCGCTTCTTCCTCATTTTCTAGTCCGACAAGCTTCATGAGCATTGTGACACTGTCAAGGGTGCTGTACACCTCCACAAATCTTGGATGCGACTTATCCTCAACAAGGAACTTGTGCATCCTGCCATCTAGCTCTATGAAGCTGTACCCAGCTGATTTCTTGTGGTCTTTCTCCTTGAGTAACTTCCATACCTGGGCAACACCGTCCCATTTTCCAGACGACGCGTATATGTTTGACAGGATCACCAGATTTCCAGTGTTTTGTGGCTCGAGAAAGATGAGTTTGTTTACTGCTACTTCCGCTAGTTCTACGTTTCCATGGAAGCTGCTGGCACCGAGCAAGGCTCCCCAGATGACGGGGTCAGGCTCCACTGGCATGCTTGCTATCATACTGTAGGCTTCATTTAGGAGACCAGCACGCCCAAGCAGATCAACCATGCAACCATAGTGCTCGATTCTTGGAGTAAGACTAAATTCTGCTTCCATCGAGTTGAAGAGTAGCTTGCCTTCATCCACCAAACCTCCATGAGTGCAAGCCAAAATGACTCCAACAAATGTGATACCATCTGGTTTGACCCCTGTCATCTGGACACAGTAAAATAAGAATCAAGTTCCACACTGAGGAATGAGCAAGGCAAGAAAGTGATGATGTGTTAGTGCGAAAATATAGGAGTAAAATACAATTCAAGGAAGAAATCCTCACCCGCAACTTATGGAACAAGGCAAGTGCTTCCCTCCACGAGCCATGCAAGGCGAATGCCATGATCATTGAGTTCCAAGAACAGAGATCTCGCCGACGACGGATCCCCTGAAACACCTGCCAAGCTCTTTGGATGCTGCCACACTTGGCATACATCTCCAGCAGTGCATTGGCCACATACACATTCCTCAGGTGGCCTTTGCCCCTCGCATACTCCTCCACCTTCCTCCCAAGCTCCATGGCCCCAACAGCCGCGCACGCGGGCAGCACGCTGCTCACCGTAAGCTCATTCGGCTGCACCCCTGCCCCCTCCCACATCTTCAGGAACGCCCCCACCGCCTCCTCGTGCCGCCCGTTCTGCGCGTACCCGGACACCATGGCGGTCCACGAGACCACGTTCCGGTCCGGCATTTCCCCGAACAGCTTCTCCGCGGCGTCGAGGAGGCCGGCCCTGGCGTAGGCCGAGAGCAGCGCGTTGCTCACGGCGGTGTCCCTGCGCGGCATTTCGTCGAACACCCGCCTGGCGTCGCGCAGGAGGCGGTTCCTGGCGTAGAAGGAGACGAGCGCGGAGCCGAGGAAGGGGTCGCCGGGCGCGAGGTGGCCGGACTTGAGCAGCAGGGCGTGGGCGGAGAGCGCGAAGGGCGCGGAGGAGGGGGCGGAGGAGAGGAGGAAGGTGAAGGAGAGAGGGGTGAGCAGGCGGAGGCGGTGCGCGCGGGAGAAGGAGCGGAGGAGGAGCGGGCTGCGCGAGGCGGCGAGCGCCTGGAGGAGGCGGTCGTGGAGAGTGGCGGAGGGGGGCGAGGAGGCGAGGAGGAGCGCGGCGTAGCGGAGGTCGCCGGCGGCGAGGACGCGGAGGAGGAGCGGCTGCAGGCGGCGCTCGCCGCGGCGGAGCAAGCGCGCGTGTAGCCGCTTCACTTCCTCCATGGAACGAACCACGCTGCGCGGGTCGTCAAAGGCCCATCCAAGTGTAAGTCGAATATAAGTGAACAGGGCCCAGCGGCCTTCTCTCTAAAAAGACTTATATATACTTCCTAAATATAAGTCTTTCTGGAGATTTCGGTAAGGACTACATACGAATGTATATAGACATATTTTAGAGTGTAGATTCGCTCATTTTGCTCCGTATGTAGTCCACATTGGAATCTCTAAAAAGACTTATACTTCCTTTGTCCCATAATATAAGAACGTTTTTGGCACTAGTATAGTATCAAAAACGCTCCTATATTATGGGACAGAGGGAGTATTTAGAAACGGAAGGAGTACTATAAAATAAGTCGAATGTTTCAATATGTATTCCTATTTTTTAACACGTATTCGCAAAAATGTCAACACATGTATTTAAAGTTTTTAAACGTATATAAAAAATTTAGATGTATACAAAAAATGTACAATGTGAATGAAAAAGGGTTGACATCAAAATATGCATTTGAAACAAATGTTAATCATATATTTGAAAATTTTGAATTGTGTATAATTTTTTTCTTTATGTATACAAAAAAAATTAAAATGTGTACGAAAAGTAGATGTGTGTTCAAAAAAGAAAGAAAAACCGGTGAAAACCAAGAAAAGCACAAAGAAAACCAAAGAAAAAAAGAAAAAAGAAAAAGAAACAAGAAAACCCAAAGAAAACCATAGAAAGAAATGAAGAAAACCCAAAAAACTAAGTGAAATCAGATAAAAAACTGCAGGAAAAAAACACATGCTCAGCTACAGTAATGGGTTGGCCAAATAATGTCGCGCTGTCGGCGAGATGGGCTACATATAGCTCCTGCGAAGAAAATAGGCCCTTAAGAGAATACCACAACTCTCTCTCTCTCTCTCTCTCTCTCTCTCTAAGGAAAAAACAACTTTTTTCAACTAAAATACCACAACTTAGCGTGAAAAAACCCACAACCCCCCAAAAAAAACAAGAGCAAAAATGAACATCCTGATGATGATTATGCATACCTAATTTCAGGCAGCATATGTGGTGCATAGATTCAAGTGGAAGGATCTATGTGCATGAATAATTTGACCGACAAGGTATAAAACTTACAAAACATATCTAAGTTTTCATCGACAAGGTATAAAACGTACAAAACATAACTAAGTTTTCATGCAAGTGTATTGTATAGGGGGAGTGGCAAATATTTTCCATCGACAAGTAACAAAACTTACAAACACAATGTGTCTCTTCGTCAACTCATTCACAATTTTGCTATTCATCTCGAGATCGTCTCTCCCTCCGCAAGTCATTGCCGCAAGTTATGTCGATGGGCGACTCACAGACGCAAGTCCATAACAATGTTTTAGATTTCTATATTGTAAGTTATCCAATTTTTTATAAAGATTTAAAGGACTCGTTTTGTCTTTCGCAGCGAGACCTCAAAATTCTTGATACGCCGTGTTGTGCACAGTTGTCATGTAGAAGTAAGTGTTTGTAGGAAATATTGATTCTACAAAATCAGGCATTCTGGAAAACCACTTGTGATAATAATATTGAAAGATTGCAAATTCACTATACTTCTGTCAAAAGGCACTTAAAAGGAGACATTAAACTTTCCCATTGATGAGCCAGCATGGATTACAATTAGCAACACATCCTTTGAGCTGCCAAACCTTGATTCCCGGTGGTACACTTTTTCCAGCTTCATTTCATTGCTTGGGAAACTGAATAACCTTGATGAGTAATGATCTAATTAACATGCACACAATTTTCGAACTCAGTACATGGTTTATTTACGGCCACAGGTTTCTGGACGAATATAATTGCCTGCACACATATCCAAAGAACAGAATAAGTCAGTGATATATAGGTTGGTTCATGTGGCTTCTCAAAAGTAATAAGAGGAATCTACGCTGATCACTTCAACGGTGACGTAAACTTTACTCCACCAAAACATTAAAATCTTAATAGGTCTAGTACATTTAATCATGAACTATGCGACAACTATCCGCATTCCAAAAAACAGTGCATATAGATTTTGTTTGAAGTAAAATTTTATGAAGGTTGGCCAAGTTTATAGTAATCTTATCAAACTTTGCAAAAATTAACTTACTGTTAAATCTATACACACTATATTTTAACACAGAGAGAGTATTGACAAAAATTGGGCTGGCGCTATCAACATACACAAAAATTGTAGTAAGGTCATGCACTTGAGAGGTTTGCTTACAGGGGTCCGGAGGTTTCCTGGCGTGGAGCACAATGATTTGGAGGAACACTAGCAGTAGCAACACAGCGATACACCAAGGCCTGCTGCTCGTTGACATCTTCCCAGTCACAAGAACAATATATTGAGGCACTCAAAAAAGGATTCAAGGAAGTGCCGATAGCTTTTCACGGTGGTGGCTTATATAGTAGCTTCAGAGTCAACTTTTTACACAATAGTCCCACTTTTATGGATGAGTTAGCCACATGATCCTTTGCAGAGGCACTCATCCTCTCGACACTGTAGCCCCTAAGGGCGGTCATCACTGATCTTGGCAAGTAAACCGGTTCTTTGATTTTTCTTTTCTGAGGAAGTATATATCAAGCCAAAGTATGTGGACCACTCCCCCGAACGCTAGTATGATAAAGCACCATAGAATAACAAAAAATTAACAATGTCTGTCAGAATTTATTTGTTTCTAGGTCCTTCTTTGTTTTGGAAACAACTCCTTGGCCCCCTACTCACATATTTTCGCATCGACACTATCAAAAATCTTGTCTGCCAACCACAAGGAAACGGTTGATATGGATGCTCTACTTGTTAAACTAGATCTTGGGTAGGTAGAACAACATCTGGTCAAACTAAGAATTTTTTATATGAGTTGATGTGGATGTGGTTTGGAGACCGAGTAACCCAAATAACCAGTCGCCAATGAATAAAATAAAATGAAATTCAGGCACAACTTTCCAAAGCCTAGGGTTGAAATACGTGAGTCCGGTAGGCACAAATGTGTTAGTGAGTGTAGTTTAGATTGAGACACAGATGATTGAAATGACCAGTCGTCAACTCATTTGCAATTTTCCAAAAGCATATCCTATTGAATTGGTTTATCATGATGCACCATATCATGTGTGATTTTCTCAAGGTGAATCAATGTGTCACACATGTAAATGTGTCTAGGAAATACTGCTTCCCAGAAAGCACATGGGCAGAATCGGATACTTAATTCCTGCAAACAAAAAGGAAGAGAAGCGAATACTTAGATAACAATGAAGATTGTAAATTTCAGAATCCCGTAAAAAATCAAAATGCATCCTTTGCTTTGAGCTTACTGCCAACAAACTGGCCCAGCTGTTGATTCCTGACAGTACTGCATATTTTCAATATCATTTTGATTCTTGGGAAACAACCCAACGAAGTTTTCCAACTTCACTTAATGGTTTCCTATAGGATGAAGAAAATGGGCTTGACAAGGAATCAAAAGAAAAGAGTAAGAAAAATAATGACATAGATCTATGTTGACCAAGCTTCCAATTGAAAAACTGTACACAAGATTGTACGTTGATCTCCTCAGCAGTGAGGTAATGAGCTTTTCATCTTAACTAACAGTCCAGGCGTGGCAACCTAAAACCCTACTTTATTTAATGCCTTTGCTCATGTATTTACCTACTCCCTCTAGATTGGTATACAAGGTCCTCTCGTATATTGAGACTTATGACCACTCATTGAACTCCAAGAAAATATGAGTTATATCTCCAAAAGTGTACCATTAGATTTGATTCTAAAGGTGTTTTCAATGGTACACTTTATGTGGAACATAACTCTGTTTTTCTTGCTTAAATCGGTTTTTGTGAAGTACCCAGATCTATTATAGAAGTTCATGAGACATACAAGGCACCCCAAACATAATAAAAAAATGGAG